TTATTTTAAGTGTCTAATTTAAGTAATAATATCTAATTTAATACTACCTACTGTAATCTCGAATGTAATACTACAACATAACGTTATTTTAAAGTAAAAATTGTATAAAGAATATTTTGAAAGTAGTTCCCACTTTCCTTTGAACACAATCTAACACGATTTGTTTGAGGATTTCCTGCTTAAATTGATAAGTATGGGACTACTTCGCCAACATCATAGTTGCTCCTGGTAAATCGGAAACAAATTTGCTGAGTAAACAATTTGCTATTTTTGTGTTGATGTGTCAGTGTCATCAACGATTTCAAATAATAGTTGTTTAATTATGGCAAATTTTACTAACAATGAGTATGTTGATATGCTCCAAGTATTTTTTGAATGTCACAAAAATTGTGCTGCCGCAACAAGATTGTACCATGTGAGATATCCAAATCGCCGGGTTCCCCACAGGCAATCTTTTTCAGCTGTGGAAAGAAGGTTGCGAGAAACTGGCCAAATTCAACCTAAGCGTGAGGGTAATGGACAAAGACGGTATATCAGAAATGAACCTTGAAGAAGCAATACTTATCAATTTAGAAGAAAATCCTCAAACAAGTACAAGAAGACTAGCTACACATTACAACGTTTCGCAAAGCCTTGTTTGGAACTTGATTCATGATAACCTTTTACGCCCTTTTCACCACCGGCCGGTTCAAGAATTAACTGCAAATGATTTACCTGCAAGGATTGTTTTTTGCCAGTGGTATCTTAACATGTCCAGACACGACTTAAATTTTTTATCTCACATTTTGTTCACCAATGATGCATGTTTTCAAAGACATGGCTTAGTTAACCATCGTAATAGTCATAGATGGTCTGATAAAAACCCCCATGAAATATGTCCATCAAGATTTCAGGACAATTTTAGTGTAAATGTATGGTCAGGAATTGTTGGAGATGCTCTAATAGGTCCATTTATTCTTCCCCGTCGACTGACAGCTTTTGAATATCTTCGATTTTTAAATGAATATCTCCCAATATTATTGGAGGATATACCACTAGGTGTACGACAAGTTATGTGGTACATGCATGACGGAGCTCCGGCACATAGTACCATAGCTGTCAGGCAATGGTTGAATTTAAATTTTCTGGGACGTTGGGTAGGTCGTGGTGTCGATGCACCCGTTAGTTGGCCTGCCCGTTCACCGGACATTACCCCACTTGATTATTTCTTATGGGGACAACTGAAAAGTCTTGTTTATGCTACTCCTGTTAATACTGTTGAAGAATTGCGTCAAAAAATCTTTCTCGCAGCTGACGATATTCGTGACAACCCAGAAATATTTGCAAGAGGACGTCATAATTTTAATCGTCGTGGTAGATTGTGTTTACAGAAAAATGGGAACTACTTTGAAAATATTCTTTAGAAACTTTTTACTTTAAAATAACGTTATGTTCCTTAGTAGGTATTACATTCGAGATTACAGTAGGTACTTAGTTTTAAATTAAAATTTATTATTTAAATTACACTTAAAATAACTTGATTTGTTACATAACGAATACTTACTGTTCCTTCAAAATAAATTTATTAAAATTACTTTACCAGAAAAGCGTTTTCCTTTAGCTATTAATGAGTGGTGTGTTGATGTTTCTGTATTACTGCAACCTGACTGCAACCATTGGCGCTGTAAAATTTCCGAAGTTTGTTTTTCGTAAATTATTTAAAAAAAACTATCGCGTTTATCGAAAAAATGCAAGAGAGAAAAAATGTTTGTTTTTAGTTGTTACGTCCGAAAATGTAAATAAGATATGTATTTTCATACAGGGTGAAAAATTCTTTGGAGTAATATGTTGCATGTAGTCGACAGCAGCGCCTCTGGTGGATATATTTAAACAATATTAATAGAAAGTATGTATGGACAATGTATGGACAAATGTCTGTACCAAATATAAATGATTTACGCCACATCGTTCAAGATAAATTGAAGGAAATATTGGTTGGCTCTACAACATTCAAGACCCTGTAATACCTCAGAAGTGCAACTTTTGTCTAAGGTATATTTAGTTCATTCGCCTTATTTTTTTCATCTAGATGCACTGGTAGCGTTTGTGCTACTCTATTCAAAATCACCCTGTATATCCATAAATTCAAAGCGTATTTTTACTTTAATTATAAAATAAAAAATGTTCTGAACCAACAGCTGAATCTGTCATGAATCGCCGAGAACGTGATTAGCTTTTTCCCATTTTTAGTGGTATCAAAAGTACTATGAAAATATATCATTCTGTAAAGTACTTACATATTTTAGGCGATATTATCCTCTATGTTTTTCATCAGTAATTATTAAATTATGAAACAATATGTACCTAATTTATGTACTCTTTATCAACGAGAAAAAGTAAAGGATGCAAATAAAAGAGAATTTTAACTTAAGACCCGCTAGTCTAATCGTACATTACATTCCAGGTTTCCTATTTTGTTTTCATAAGACACTATGAAAATTATATTGTTTTGTAGAAACACAATTTTATGTTACGTTATTTCTTATTTGGATCTCGACTTTCGAAAATGTGTGAAAATCGAATCGCATATACAGGATTTGATACAAAAAAATCGAGTACAAATAGCTGATGTCAAAATAATATCAGTTCTTCATATATATCTTCATATTCTTTTTTTCGTACGGGCCTTCGTTAACATACGGGCCCTCAAAGGAGAAAATAAAAAGTTATTTTTATTTACAGTCTCTAAACTGTTAACTTCAGCATGATGTAAATTTGGTGATCGATAACACATGCGTACAGCTTGTTTTTGATGTTGTAAGTGAAACTTCATTATGCCCAGAACGTCAGGGACGGACTATGCCCAATGGTTAACAACCCAGAAATTTTGCATAGATGACGATTGCAATCTGCCTGTATCAAAAATAAGTTCCCTGACGAATTTGCCAACGATAATACCCTCTTGATTCAACTCAGTAAAATTAAGAGTTTAGCAAAAACCTATTTGTGATTTTATGTCAAGTTCACATCGAGCGGCTCCTCCACCATTTTTTGTTTTTAATTTTTAATTAGACATAATCGCTACGTTAGAATCGTACATATTTTTAAAGTAAGAGCCTAGAAAATTCGACAAATACACTTTACACATAACACAAAATAGGAATAAGTTAAAGTAAGTTAACAAAATAATTTAAAAGAAAGAAAACTATCAAAATACATTTTCAATATGGGCACTTTCTACAAACTTCCTTAGTCTATGAATGCTATTCTCGACTTTTTTATATGAAGTACCGGGACACCCTGTATATACTTGATGATTGTAATATTTGAATATTTAAATATTTGTATTAAAATGGCACTGAATTATTAAAAACTGAGGAAGGGTGATTTTCAGAAAATATATGGATTACTGCTCAAAGAAAATAGACTTTTTTTGAAAACGTATTTTTCGAAAGTTTTGTTTGTCAAATAGTCGTTTGCCGTAGATAAAGTTAATTTCATTATGACTGTTTAGAAAATGAAAGCTTCTAAAATAATTTTTTATTATTTTTGCAAATAAAATTGTTATATTAAAAAGTAGTTTACAGTTATAAAAACACAAACAAAGTTCAAGTTTGACTGATATTATAAATTTTTTTCAAATATTCTATAATCTCATTTATTGAAAATTGACACATTCTGTCTTTAATTTTGTTTTTCAATTATTCCACATTATTTCTAAAATCAGCAAATTCATACATTTGTCCACAAGAGCATCCATCTAATTGTTGACATTGTTCACAGTTTTAGGAGAAGTTAGGTCGTCCGCGACCAGGGGCAAATATCAAAATATGTGAACAGGTGTTAGCCCTTACTTTGGCTTAGCTGAGAGCATAGCTTATCATTCGACTCCGAAGTAAGCAACGGTTAGACTAGATTATTATCGAAAGTTTGTTGTAAACAATGAGAGAAGTTGAACGGGAAGACAACATCACGTGAGTTTATCACATTCGGTAAAGGAACAATTTCAATTCAATCCCTTATATTATATCCAAATTTAGATATGGTTATGCTCATTTTTTTCACACCCAAATATTTTATGAAAAATTGCTTTTCAAAAAAATAAAAAATAAAAATGGCCCTATGGCTTGTGTTTTCTTTGTTGTAAGTTGCAAGGTCTTTTTAAAAATTTCGTGCGTACTATTTTGTCAACAAGAGACAAGAAATAAGTAAAAAACCAAAGGGGGAATTTGATGTGTATTCAATATCTTCAGCTTGTCTGTAGTCACATGACCAAACTCTCGTCACATCTATAATAGTAACATTGAACACAGTAAAATGATGATGCACTGCACAAGCTATTCACTCATACATCCGAATTTTATTTATCACTGAAAATAATGTTAAATAATAAGTAATAATAATTAAAGATGATAAATGCTGTATTCATAGTTATCACTAAATTACTGAAAAAATTGGTGGACCATCGGAATTACATATAGATCTGCCTCAAGGACAAGTATGTCAGATGAAGAATAAAACTATAACATCGGAACTTTCACAATAATGTATTCTACAGATTTTATTTTCTTACTATAATCGTTCCAATTTTCAGTGTGAAGTCTAATTTTTTAAAGCGAGGCAGAATAGCGTTTAAGGAACTCATTCACCGAGGTAATTTCCCCTGCTTCAATAGAATATACATTTGTGAATTTATAAGGTTTTTGCTTGATTTTTGTCTTGCCTTATATTAGTTTTCAGATGTATACGCGACTAAAAAGCAAGCAAGCAAGAATTAGGGAGCATTAAACAAAATTTGAAAAGTTATTTTTAAACAGTTATCTACTGTGCGATGTTTTTAGTTGAAATATTTATTATTCCGACATTTTAGATATCATATAAAACCGCCAGCTAAAAGATTATGAAAATAAATCAGCTCAGCGTCCTGGAACTACTTACGGTTTGTATGTCATCTAACGATCTACTTACGGGCCTAGACTATCTACTACACTGACAACTTTGTAAGTAAAAATAGTAGTTACATTTTATTCGTCCTGCAGAACTTTCTTGCGATATAACTTTTTCTAGATCCAGGTGGTCCCACTAAAACAATAATAATTGGATGGGGATGATTAATTGGCAGTAAGAATGAATCAATATTGGGATAGTTAATTTGTTGAAGTAACATAAGTTCTGCGTGAGATACTTTTCCAGGAAATAATGGAGTAAAAGTATTAGTAATATGAATTCGTTTCTCTGGACATATTTTCTTTCCATCCAAGATTATCAAATGTTTTATATTCTCCACGCACACGTTGAAATAGTACTTCATTGTTGTAACTGGATTGTTCATCAAATTCAACCTTCAACAGATATTATTAGGTAGATAAAAAGACCACTGTCGGCCATCTCTATTAACGTAGTTTCTATTTAAGATATGAGAGAGTATTGATGAAATAAAAGAATATGACCGATGTGATAATAAGAACAATTGAAAACAATCATGCAAGTGAGAAAAAAATAACATATTGCAAGTAGGTGATAAATGACACTGTAACTTTTTCCATTATTGGAGCAGTGGGAAAATGCGAAAATTTTATCTTATAGTTCAATTTCCATTAATTACACAAATTTCATATTTGCACCTGACAAATAGAGAACATTTTGAAACCTATAATTTCAAACTTTTTCAAAATTTGCGCATTTTTCTTTCCGGCACTAGAATCTTCAATTGAATTTGTCAGATATTATATTTAAAATGGAATATTTGCTGCAGTTCACCTAGGCAGTTGAGAAGCAATGGCGCAAGCTTTCCACCTTTGAGCAAATGCAGGGTGGACAATGAATTTGTTTACATTTAAATAAAATTTGCCACGTAAACTCAGGCGTCAGGGGACTCCCGAAGCGGACTAGCCGCTAGCTTGTTTCTCATAAATTTAGTCACAATGGTTCGGTTTACGGGGCCGCAGAGCGCCTTTTACATAAATCAATTTTATTTAAAAAACTCATTACTGTTAGGCGCTTGTTTAGCGTCGAGTGCGATTTACTTGACTTAAATCAGTGTCCGAACTCAGTTTTAATTAAGAAATGGGTGAAGAAGTTTGAAGAGACGGGATCGACACTTTTAAAGCAAACCTGAGCCACTTCTGTCTCTGAAAGTAGCACCATATATTTTTTTAACGATAAAATTGCGTTATCCAATTCACTTATTGATACTTACAATTAGAGATATTGCATTTAACTGAGAAATGTATGAATGCAATCTACAACTACTGTTGCCAGCGGCCAATTCTGCCAGTTTGGTATTTGGCACATGCAAAAATGTTAATTAGCAACTTTTCGTCCGATTAATTTCTTCTATAAACATTTCACAAAAGTTGTTGTTTTTTTGCAATATTCTACTCATACTACTTTACGGCCACCATCAGCAGAACTGACTCAGACCGCTATAAGTAGGAAATAATTGATTTTCGGACCCAAGTACTGTAGAGACTTTTTGTCAGTAACACAAAACCAACAACTTACCACAATTTCAGCCAATTTGACCGAACTCACATTTTCATAAAGACCGTGTGGGATTATTTACGCAAATTGTTTGCCGAAATTATGTTGGATCGCTTCAATAATTTTGATAACATCTTCTTTTCCGACGAAGCCCACTTCCACTTTAAAATGCACGTTAATAAACAGAACAGCAGAGCATTGGAGCAGCCAAAATCCTCCTAAGATAATAGTTTGAACGGAAATTTCAGCTCCAGGAATCATATTTCTTCTAGGATTTTCGCGGCCTTACGATCACTGTAAACTCTACCGAGTATGTGAAAATGTACCACAGTTTCAAGAATTTGGGTACAATCGAAGCACATGACTGCAACAAGTCGCAGCCACTCGTCACACCTCTAACGACCAGTAATGAAAGCAATATTCCCGGAAAAGCTGATTTATAGGAGAAGAGACTTTCCGTAGCTACTCAGGAGTCCCGATTTGACGCTAGCAGATTTCATTTTATGGGGATATTTGAGAATCGTGTGGACACCCGCAAACCAACAACACTGCTTCAATTAAAAGCAAACATTAGCGAAGAGATGACTACAATCTCCACGGTCTCTTTGCCGAAGAGTCTTCGAAAATTTCTATTCTCGTTTAGAAGAATGTCGAAACTGAGACGGCGGTCATTTAGATGATATTTTAAAAAAATAAATTCCCGTTTGTTTTTTTTTTTTAATAATAATTTTTAAAAAAGCCATGTAGTTTCATTTTTATTAAGTATTTAAAAGTGAACAAATTCATGGCCCATCCTGAATATCATCAATTTAATTCATAAAGTTTATTTTCTTTTCATTATTTTACCAATAATTTTTTGGTAAAACATTTTATTTTAATTTTTCCGATTATATCGTACATAATATTTACATAATTAAGATCAATTCTTATATCACTAAACAAAATTAAATTAAAGAGAAATATAGTATTCCACTGAAAAAATAGATTTTCTGTTATTCTTGAAAATGTGTCAATATAGTCCAACCAAATTACACTTGGAGAAAAAAAAATGTTACCTGGACTTTTATAAGTGGAAATGGTAAAAGGGCTTGTAATAAATCTAAAAAAAATAAATGCGTGAGCAGGGGCGGCGGAGGGTTGATTTGGGGGGTTGAAAAGTTATGAAAAATTGTATCATTGGGATTTCTGGCGAAAGTTGAGGTCAAACAAAAAAGTTTTCATTACAAAAGTTGTAGATCATGCAAAAATCAACAACTTTTGTATTTTTTCGCTCTATACAATTTTTAAATACGTCGCTGCTATTTTTATGACAAAATTTAAAGTCATTTTTAATTCTAAATTAAAGGATATTACTATTGTAATCGCTTAAAAAGTTTTTAGCTTGTTTTATGTATAATTTTTTTTTGCATTTCGTGCATGTTTTTGAAATGTTATTACAGATTTTTTTATTTCACCAAAAAGTATATGTCAAAACGAAAAAAATTATTACCGGCAGAACTCTGTACGATAATTTTTTAAGTAGAATTTTTCTTTGAAGAAAAAGTGTTTCAGGCCGAAAAAAATGAATATCTCAGAAACTTCTTAATTTTTTTATCTAAAAAAATTTGAGGTTATTTAAGACAGAGAAAGGTATACTTTCACCAAGTTTCGTCAAAATTAAATTATTTTTGCGGAAATGAGAAATAAAAAACGAAAAATCAGAAAAAAAAAACAGTTTTTCGCATTTTTCTCGGAAATTTTGAGGTTATTTTAAAAAGTGACTTCTACAAAAGTTGTAGATTTTTGCATGATCTACAACTTTTGTATTATTTTTTGTTTGACGTCAACTTTCGCCAGAAATTCCAATGATACATTTTTCGCCGCCCCTGCTCACGCATTTATTTATTTTTTTTTTTCGTTTATTATAAGCCCCTTTACCATTTCCACTTATAAAACTCCAGGTAACAATTTATTTTTTTCCCCTCTAAATGAGTTAATTTGATCGGTCTAATATGGCAACAATGCAATTGCTCTCTTCAAATCCTCTTAACACTTTTTTAATATTTCTTAGTTCTATATGATTTTCGAAATTGCTATAAAATATGTATGCTTACCTTGAAAGATATCTTAAATTGCATAAATGATATAGTTCTAATAAACTAGATATATTGTTATTGCTCATGTCGATGCCTTCTATATAACTAGCATTTTGGAACATTTCTAAAGAACTAATATTGTTGTGGGATAAATCTACCAAACGTATATAATCCAGCGTCTTAAAAAGAACTGGATCATCATCCACATTGTTGCTGTCAATAAGGTTATGATGTAAAATTAATATTTGTATCCGCAAGTAATTCAAATTTTCAAGTGCCGATATTTTATTGTGTGATAGGTCCAAATAATTCAAAAACCTAAAAATTACTACTATTATCTATTAGAATTTTTAATTTTGTTGTCATTTCCCTACAAAATTTCATAAAAAAAGAATGACTAGAATTGTATGAAACTTCAAGCATAAAATTGAAATTATTTTCCATTTCATAAAAGTTACAGGGTGAAACAGGTTAGACATTTACCATATCTTTTCCATTAAGCAATTATTTGAGCATAAAAGAAATGCACACAATCTGCGCTACTGTCAAAAATAATATTTTTTTTAGGTTCAGTCCTCTGCAAGCCATTAAAAATTGCACACTGGTTTATAAGGCAAACTTGTATCATTTTTAGTGCTCAGATTTCCTCTAATATTTTTTACAGTTGCTATGGTCACCGTATGTTCACGATGTCTCCTTTTAATAGCAACGGAAAATCACTCATTGATAGAGGAGCTAATTTTAAGATGAACAGTGAAGTTTAAGAAAAAATATACTGAGCCTTCATAAATGATTATAATCATTTTGAAGGCTCAGTATATACCTGTCCTTAAATTTTGATCGATAAAAATTTAAGTACCCTGTACAATATTTGCAATATTAATTTTGATTAATAACTAGATGGTTAATTTTTAAGAATAGTGTTACAAGTAAAAACCAAAAAACAACTTTTAAGCGTCAGCTTCAAGGGATCATAAGTGAAACTAAATACTTTTTTCAACAATTTCAGCCACGTAATTATGCAGATGCCTAATTCATCTCACTATTTTTCATTTAAATAAACATTGAAATAATATGCTTTTGATACTGTGATAATGAACAGTGCTGGCCAATTCTGGATTACAAAATTCGCTTTAATGAGAATGGAAGATATGGATAAAACAAATCCTTAATGATAAAACAAAGAGAGAACACGTTGTAACCGAATATTCGTAGGAACGAACTCGTGCTACTTCAATGGTGAAAACTAAACAATGTGGTACAATGTACAATTACATATGTTTACCATTTTATCTAACAACTGTAATATTATATTATTATATTATGCACAGTGCCCTACAGTGTAGTCCAGAAATGAATGTACAGGGTGAGTCATTAATAATGGTACACAGCTTAATGGCAGATTGTTAACGTCAAAATATAGCGATTGAGCCAAACATGCCTTAATCAATTGTTACTCCTTTTCGTTCTACAAGTTGTTAAAGTTCATTCGATTTTTTTATATTTTAAGTACGTATGAACCGATTGTTTTGAAAATTTGTACATTTACGTTTTTTGAAGTGGCAAATAAGAATATGCTAACAGTGTTGGGGTCACGTCTAGGAGATGTTAGTTATACTGCCCTATCAATGTAAAAATATGTCTAACTTTTTGTATTTTACAATTTTAATTTTTTTAACTAGAAAATATTGAACTATGTTCAATTGTAAATAAAACAGGTATACTTGTTACAAATCGATAAACTCAACCGTTTTCGAGATACAGACATTTTAAGTTTTTGAGATTCGGTGGGAATTAAATTAAAAAAATTATTTTTTCCAAGTTGACATTGACAGCGCTGGATTTACACTAGGGGCACTAGGGGCTAGTGCCCAGGGCGCCATTTCCAGGGGCAACAAAATTCGGGGCTTGAGAAAAAATTTTTTGCGCTATCAAAAATGCTTCAAAAAGTGTGCATTTACAAATAAAAATAAATACAATAAATTTAGATATATACAGGGTGTCTCACGGTGACGGACCATTAGAATTATTTCAGAGACTACTTCGATTTGAATTTTGAAATTTGATTTTGGTTATACCGGAGTCGCCATCAACTTGCTTATTTTAAATGGAACACCCTATATATTATTGTAATTTTGCATTCTACGTGTTATTTTAGGTGCACTTTTATGAAGTTTCCCTAATCCTAAAATTAACCGTTTTCGAGATATTTAATTTTTTTCAAAACAATAGAGAGAAACAGTGACTATTTTCAAACCATGTGTATTTTATTGTAAGAAAGATAAAGCAACTATATTTATGGAAGGGATAGCTAGAGCCCTAAGCTTTCCATCCATACTTTCAAAGTGGCATAATTGCATACAGGATGTTACAAGAGTTTAGTTAACTTCAAACCTTCATAAGTCGGTTTTTTTTAATGGAACACCCTGCATGTTTTTTTTATATTCTGATACACAATTTTATTCTTTTTCGAACGGTATCAGGATTCCCTCTACCTATCTCTTCTAATTTTTAAGTTATCTACTATTTGTTGTGTAATCACCTAAAATCATGGAATTTCTTGCGAGGATAGCTGTGGAATTTTTAGCAAAACTTCAAAACAAACAACTAAACTGTCAATTTGTTGTTAGTCTCTTGCAGTGATAATTTAATTGATAGTTTATAAGAAATGGAAAATAATAGATACATATTCAAATGCTGATATTTTATATTTATTATTCATTCACGGACGTTGCAAAGGGATTATAAGAAGAACATGTACAGTTTTTAATGAGACATATCCAAATTTGCCACCAATGAGCAGAAAAAAGTTTAGCAAATCAACTAGAGTATGGTCGAATTTGTGCAGAAAGAATTTTACCAAAACTAACAACTGTGCTAGCCTATTTTAATGTTCATCCAGAATCCTCAACTCGTGCCGCAGAGTATGATTTAGGCATTTCACAAGCGTCCATTCACAGGATGCTAAGAACTAATGATATGCATCCATACAAATTTAAGCTGCTTTCTGCTCTTCATCTGGGTGACGTGTACAATTTTGTGAAACGATGTTAGTGCGATACCAAGAACATCCACAATTTTTGCAACATATTATATGAACAGATGAGTCAAAATTTACGAGATAAGGTATTTTTAATAGACATAATACTCATTTGTGGTCATCTGAAAATCCTCATGTTATCCGGGAAAGAAACTTTCTAAATAAATTTAGCGTAGATGTTTTTTATCTAATTAAAGATTTCTTACCATATCTACTAAGAAAATTTAAATGCCGACAGATATCTCAATATTTTGCAAACGGTTGTGGCAGATTTTCCAGATGATATACCTTTAGACCAACTAAGGAAGTGTTGGTATCAATTAGACGGGGCTCCACCTCTCTGTCACAATCAAATCGATCAACAGCTAACTGAAATGTTTGAAGATAGATGGATGAGACGCCTAGGACCGTGGAATTGGCCTGTGAGGTCTCCCGACCTCTCTCCATTCGATTTTTATGTTTGGGGAGTAATAAAGCAAAAAGTTTATTCTACACCCGTTGCTTCAAAAGAGGATTTGATTTTTCGAATACGAAGAGCGTTCCATGAATTGCCTACGGCTGAAATAGCAAAAGCGATTACTGATGGTATTATCTCTAGAATCCACAAGTGCTTAGCTGTTAATGGGGGTCATATTGAATACTTATGACTTTTTTAAGTATTTTTTTTATCTTAGTGCATTATTATTATCAACATACATAATTAAAATTGTGTATTACTATGTATGAATTCTTCTTAACTTCTAACTATTCTGCTCATTGGTGGAAAATTGGGATATGTCTCATTAAAAACTGTAAATGTTCTGCTTAGAATCCCATTGCAACGTCTGTTAATAAATAATAATAAATAACTGGTGACAGTTTAGTTGTTTGTTTTGAAATTTTGCTAAAAATAGCTATCCTCGCAAGAAATGATTTTAGGTGATGGTTTGAAGCTAGTCACTGTTTCTCTCCATTTTTTTGAAAAAAAAAATAAATATCTCGAAAACGCTTAATTTTAGGAATAGGGAAACTACATAAAAGTCCATCTAAAATAACACGTAGAATCCAAAATTGCAATAATATATAGGGTGTTCCACTTAAAATAAGCGAATTTAGCTTTTCTAAAAATTAATCTTTGTCTGTTGAATTGAAAAAAATGTTTTCAGAATTACAAAAATTCCACGTTTTTCCGTCAAGTTAAACGAATATTTTAAGGTTACTTTCATTTTTTACAATTCTTATTTCTTGTAGACTTGTGTAAAAATGCCGTTTGCACCGGAACAAAATGTATTTATTTTGATGATACATTTTCGCGGTGGTACACGGAACGCAGAGAAACTTGGTATTACTCTTTGCAGTCCTGTATAAATCGTATATGATGTAAAAACCACAAATGAATCCTTATTAAAATATGAGGGAAAACATTGCATTTGCAAGGGCGAGTCCTCAAACAGACCCACTTTTTTAACAGAAAATGTTGTTAATATTCGACAACAAATATAGTGCACAGCCCTAAGAAACTTGTTTCCCAATTATTTACTCAAACAGGTACTGCGAAAAACTTAATACAGTGTGAATTATGTAAATTTTTTTAACCTAAAGCTAAAAATAAAAATTAGTTAATAATAATTGATAATTTTGAAATTCTTTAATATTACCATTTCTTTAAAATGTATTTTTTTTATCAACATATATCTTATAGCCTTGTGCTGATTAATTTGTGTATTTACAAGAAATAATTGTACATTACATTATATTGATAATAGGTGTAGGTGTATCAGTTGGGATTTGTCACAAGGCATTAAAGAAGCAACTGCATATGCATTCCTATAATTTTTCTGTTGTGCAAGAGTCCTGATTACAACCAACAACGACAATATTGTCGGTGGTTTAATGAACATTTAAACGACGATAATTTATTAGACCAGACATTTTATTCCGATGAGGCATGGGTACATGTATATGGTTATGTAAATAGTCAGAATTATAGAACTTGAGCTGAAGAGAATCCGCATAATCTTATTGAAACAGCATTTTTAGAAGATAAGTTTCTGGGTAGCAGTTTCAAGAAGACGGATAATAGGAACCATTCTTTTACCGTAACATTTTACAACAAGCCCTGAAATTAATGCATGACGATGAACTGCAGCATGGGTATTTTTACAAGATGGAGCCACAGCGCATATTGGAGCAGAAACTATAAGGAATTTTATGGTGATACAATGATTTATTAAGGGTTTGTGGTCTGCTCAAAGCCCTGATTTCACGCCTTTAGATTTTTATCTGTTTGGCCATATCAAACATAAGATATTTAAACATCCTCTCCACACACTTGAGGAGCTAGAAGCTGCAATTGAACATGAAATAAACATTATAGCAGCAAATGAACTTGAACGCGTTTTTGAGTAAATGAGACAAAGAATAAAGTTATTTGGAAAATGAATATGGTAATTTTGATCATCTATTATAAATTTAATTAATATTGTTGGATGTAAATAATGTATTATAAATAGTATAGTATTGTGGGTTACCTTGTATATATATTTTTATGTTAAGAATACATGATTAGTTTTTGTACACCTGTTGTCGCTATAAAAACGACCGCGCTCAACACCGCGGGGAGTCAGTAAATTAGTAAGTTAGTAAGTGAAATAGTAAGAATTAACCTAAAGTACATATCTAACAGTAATTAAACAATTAATATTACTAACGTCTCTTAATTTTCCTATAATAAATAAAGTATTTAATAATAAGTATTTATTAGCTGAGTAAAAAACTTGTGTTTATGTTATCATTGTAAGGTATATTAAATATTGAAAAAAATAATAAAACTAACTTTTTGTATTTTATTAACATTATTTTCATTATCTTTAAATTAAAATGGATTACAAAATAGACAACCGTCTTCAAGCAAAAAATACTTTTTCAATATACCTAGAATGGTATAAAAATTCAAATTCAAAAAATATCATCGAGGGATGTGATGGGAAGTAAAAATAAAAAAATATTTTGTTTCTATTGAAAAGGAAATACACATTGCGGATTAAATTTAAAAGTTTGTAAAGAAAATGTAAAATGTACTCTACTGGTCATCATCTCTCTTTAGAGAATTTTATGTTAATCATTAACTCCGTTGTAAGGTAGGTTGCCTAACAGACTCGGTCATATGGGACTCGGGGCACAGTAAAATCTAGTTATGTTTGGCAGGCCAATCTGGCCCATAGACAAAGATGATCTGGCCAATCAAGTCACTCTTTATAACGATATAGACGATAGAGCATTTCTAAAACTATGAATTGATTAAATATGCTTAATATACAAACCTTAAATTCTCCAGACCGCTTATTTTTTCAATACTATTGTATGACAAATTTAAATCAGTTAATGACCAAAACTCGGTCAGATCCGGTATGATTCTGATCAAGTTATGGGAGAGGTTAACACTTGCCAAGAAAAAAGGGGCTTTAAAGTCCAGTACATTTTCTAAGTAATTATACGATGCATCCAAATATTGCAAAAATGGCAACTGGGATAGTGCAGCCAAGCTGGTCAAATCATTTTTAGAAATATCCAGATACTGTATGTAATGGTAATATTTTATTCCATTAATGTCACGTAAATCCTAAAAACCACGAATTAGAACAAAGATTTACTAATATGTGCTATCACAATGTTGATAAACTACAACAAAAAAAGTTGAAAGTATATTAATAGAATTAATTAACAGTGTTCAAAGCCATTTTAATATACAATATGCCTCACGATTATGTCCCGGCGGAGATAACATTTTTATTTATAAACTGAAAATGTCATTATAAAATTTATATAGATTATATAGAGTATCAGTGGCCACCTAGGAGCCCCGATCTTGCAATTATGGACTTTTATTTTTTGATATCTGAAACAAAATGTGTATAAAATCAATTTCAATAATAACTTAGATCTCTTGAAAGATAATAATAAATTAAAGAAGTTATTGAAAATATCCCAAGAGAGCAAATAAGGAAATGTTATTCGGAATTTACATATCGAGTTGAACTATGCGCTGAACTTGGTGCCACGTTTGAATAGAATTTTTTATTTTATATTTTATAATTTACGATTCATTGAAAATAAAAATTATTCGTATATGTTTACGAATAAATTTGTTTTAATCGAAGTAATTAAAAGTGTTATTTTTTATGTACCCTGCATAGCAATCTCAAATCTGGTATTCAAAATTGTAATTTCAAAACAAGCAGACATTTGAAGGCGGTAAAATTTCGGAGGTTACAAAATTTTCAGAAGCCAATAACTAAATATTGATTATTTTCCGTCGATTGTGAAAAAGAATTTTACGGCTTTGGAAAACTATTACCTATTGAAGGCATGGAGGCGTAATCAAAGGTGTTTCATTAAGAGAAATGGACATGACCTATCTCATAGGCAATGGGAATTTAAGTAGATACACATATTATTAATATATCGCGTCAGCGATAGCGATTGCTATTACAGCTATTATAATAAATAAATTTTGAATTCAGTCGAAAATAATTTCAATCAAGATTTTCCCCACTAATCCACACACTCATACGGGGGTCGTACGATAATGACCTTGGTTTCGACCCAGAGGTCAAACTTAGGGGTCATTTGGAGGTCAACTTTGAGGTTCTACAATTTCTAAGAACTTTGCAATTTTTTTTTAAATCATTTGGCGTTGCAAATATGAGTCGTATTGAGGAAATGTATTATGAAGGTATTGATAAAAATATATCGATGATTTTAGATACATAAAAAATTAAACCTTAAAATGACAGTGGCACCGGATATGTTCCAGTTTTTTTAATTTATGACGTACATGTTTCTTAAACCTTTAAAAATAACTTTCAACTTATAGTCCATTTAAAAAGTCTGTAGGGTTTTTTGAATGCCATTGATGGTTTCATATTCTGAACCCTCGCGTACTGCTCTTATCTGGGAAAAACCACCCCCATTTTTTTGTGAATAATAATAAATTATATTAATTGACACTAGCATACCCCGGGAGGTTAAACCTACCACCACCCGCAATAGGAAAATATACAAAAAATTAAAAAATAGGACTCCGCAAGGTTTCGTAGGAATTTTCGATGGCGGGGTCACGATGATGGTGTTATTTTTCACCTCACCCTTCCGTAACTACCCATAAAATAAAAACGCCATTTATTCTTCCATGCTGTCGGATCTAGGTTTTTATGTGAATATCGGGGTAATTAAATAAATATTTTTAAAGTACAATTGACCTCAGCAACCTCCACCTGCACTATCTTGCAACTATCCTGCACGCAACAGCAAAATCATCCGAAATACGAGAAATCCGGCTCGGAAAGGGCTTCCAACGGGTTTTTCAAGAGATCATCATATATCTTCCCTGCTCTCTAATTGGGTTATTCCAGTTAACAAGGTATAATTATAAATAAATATATTAATAAATTAATTAATTAAATACAATTATTAATCATAAAATGGTTTATTAGATAAGTTTTCAAAAACGGTTAGATTAAGATAAAAACCGAAGGGCCTTTTTAATTATAAAATGAAAAGAAATTTTGAAACAGTAATCTTTTTTTTTAGTAGTACATCATTTTCTATAAGGTATTCTCCACTCTTATTTTCTACTACACTGATAAAACTAAAAAACTGCAAATACATTTATAAATACGCGTTTGCTAAAAACAAAGTCTGTAATATAGGGGGATTCACAACTTATCCGAAAAAATTTGAAAATAGATCCGTCATGAAAAATGGAGTTAATATCGTAAAAAAAATTATAAAATCTTTGTAGTTTCCGAGAAAAATATTATTGAAATTGTAGTATTTAAAAGTTTTAAAACCCTTACATCGCTGGGCAATTGTAATCATTCGCGTTGTGCGCTGTACACAATTCGCTCCCTCTCCACATGGCCTCAGGCGATTCCGAATACTAAAATCCGATTTTAGTAGGCATTATATTACTTTCCCAAGTATCAAAAATGGCTTACGTGTATAACAACTCGAAGTTGATGGCTATCGTTTTAATTTATGGTGCAACAAGACAACATTTGTGTTACAGTGAAGTATTTGTGTTATGGTGAAGTATTTGTGTTATGGTGAAGTATTTGTGTTATGGTGAAGCAAGACAACATAGGTGTTAGTTAGTAGAAACTGGGTACGACGGGACCAAATGTGTTTACACGTCGCTGGACAAAATTTTTAACAGTTGTAACATCAGATATGTCAAATTACTTTATTAATTCAAACCACAAATTAATTTTATTAATTAAGAATAACAATAGCGGAAAAGCAGTTGAATTTGCTGATATAAAATAGGCGTTATAAAATTTTATTTATTTCTTTCCTTAGGAAAGAAATTCTTTCAATTTTTTGTCCGTTCATTTTTTTTTTAGGTACCTACACTTTGCCGTTGTGCCGGTCTACGACTGCATGCTTTGCCTTGGGCAAAGTCAGGTTTTACCGTGGACCAGTTTCCAGTGCCGTGCTGAAGTATATTTTTAAATCATTTTCAAACAACCCTTTTTGATTTTTTTTTACAAAATTGTATTTGTAAGAGTTCCCTGTATATTCAATTTTTTTTGATAAGTTCTGTATCACCCTGTATATTTAATAAGGAATAAATCAAAAAGTTTATTTTTCCAATTAACCATTAATGTCCTTTATCTCAGAAAGACAATTTTTCGTAATAGAATAGACCTGTTCCTAAAGTTCATATAAAAAAAGTTACCCATACTATAGGTATACGATGTCTCTTATTAATGTCTTCTTTATGACATTTCCAGTTATATCGAAAGTTAATACGACAACTTTGTTATTTTAAATGGAATGGCATTTTAATTCCACTTGCAAATATTACTCCCTGTTTATGATAAAAATGTCAATACAAATTTCAGCAGATTTTTTAATTTAGGCACTCACAGGACCATCTTTGAAAGTGCAATTTGAGCAATAAACTGCCACAATTACAATTTTTTCGAAATTTTCATGAAATGATTAACACATGTTTTGTTTTTAATTTACTTACTAACTACTAACTTTGAAAGTCGTTTAGTAGTTTCAGATAAAACACCTAATATAAATAATAAGTTATAAATGAGCGATCTAAAAAAGTATTTTTTTCAATTTTTTTCGTAGTGATCGTAGGAGAACAGGCCTTAGCCGGCGGCGGCGGGTCTCAGCTGGCGGGTCTCAGCCGGTCATTTTTATTTGTATATCAAACAGTTTTCAGAAAAATTTGTAGTTTCGAGAAAAAGTATGTCTAATATCTATTATACAATTAAATTATTGCTCTCATAGAAACATACATACCTTGTTTGACAATACACATTTACAAAGGACGTATTTCAACACTATAGGAGACCTTTCCAAATAAGACAAAGAAGCTTTAATCATATCATCAGTTAATACACTTGATTCTTCTATAGTTTCTTCATATTCATTACTAATTTCTTCATTTTCATCTTCAGAAGTATCTTCGTATGATATATTTCTCCTGTTCTGCTTCACAACAGCAAATGGCTTACTTTTGTACCAGGCTTCTTTATCAAATCTGTGAGTTCCCCATTCACCTTGTTTTATTGGAAATAAATTAAATTCATATTATAGGTACCAAGTTTTCTGAGATTTTTTGTTAAAATAAAGAAAATTTTTGAATCAGTACACTTAATACCGGCCCTTACTACAAAGCCTTTTAAAATGTTTTCAAGCCACGTGACTTATAATTTTACTTAGAAAAGTAATTTTATTTCCTTCACGTTGGCAACTAAATTTCGATAAAGTTAAAAATTATTAAAACAATAAAAACAAGATTACGTTAAAAGATTACATTCACCGGCTGGTGATGGATGCAATTTTTCACGAGATTTTATTCAGCCAACCAGCCATCGAACATAGACGCAACAGTTTATCATTGTTTACTGCAAACGAGCCATTGATATTGATGACGCTAATATTTAGTGATGAAAGTACCAATGTGCAATGTTGGTTCCCTAAGCCTGTTGGTCATATGATTTGTAATCATTTATGAAAGCTCTGTACCTAATATGTCAGTTCCTACGAATTGAAAATCTTAAACTTTACGGTTTCAATTGTTAAATATATTGATGATAATAATACATATAACACAGTTAACGCATTGCAAAATGAAAAGTTATAAATGTAATAGAATATGCATTTATTTTCAGTATTGAAAATATAAAAAAATAAAAATTAGACTTCTGTTTTAAACAGAAAATAGCGTCTGTAAAATTAACAGAAACCCTTCAGTATTTGCTGCCATCCTCAAAAATATTATTATATCTGCTGGCATATCAATACAGACAGAGACAGATAAGTTTGCGTAATAGAAATAGTACGCTCTTGTATTAATATTTTGAACAATGACTTCCTACTTTATTAAATTATTCCCTACTTTCCTAGACATCTCTGTCCATCTATTGCCACTTCATTTTCCTCTTGCTATTATAAAGCTGTACAGTTTTCTCATCCAGTTCAGAATATGATTTAATATTTTCAGTAGTAATATTACCAGAAAGTGAGAACAAATTGATAATTTGACAGTTTTTCGAAAATTTGTTGAAAAAAGTTGTGTCCCATAGTGAAGGATTTTTCAACATTGTTTTGTTCTGTTGCGTTATTATTGCTTCCCCATTTTCTCTTAGGTTATTAACTATATTCCACTTATGTTCATTATATTAAGTAAGGTTTCAATGAATTAAATGAGCTGTGACCCGTAATTTTTCATTGCTCATTGATTCTTGCTTTGGCAAAATGAGACACTACAGTTGATCGTGCAGATGATTCGCAATTATTTAATTTTTTTGGTATACAGTCCTACCATCTCTCCAGATTCCTTCTTCTTTAACATTATGTTTACCCTCATCGGCATATTTTATACCATACTAAGAAATATGTTTTTTCCCAAAGAATGTTCACTTTTAGAAAAAATAGCTTTAATGTGTAGTATTTGTATGCGAAAAAGTATTTACAACTTTAAGAAAAAGAAGTACCTAATACCTTTATGGGATCTAAAACATCGAAAAAATATATAAATTTGGACATGTATGAAGCTTCCTTCTTAGAAAGACTTAGGATTCACCCCTCACAATACGTTAAATTTCTTAGAAAGCACTCTGCATATTAAGTGTCTTTTATAATAATTTTTCTGGACTAGTTTTTTTAGGAATTTACAAAAAATCCACGTCATAAAATTTATTGTACGCTTATAAAATCTCTTTAAATGGATTAATAAAACACCTCAATCCTGTTAATTTTAAATAATAAACGAATACAAATATTTAACATCGCGTTTGTCGAATATGAAATACTCGCAATTATAAAAAAAAATTTGGCGTGTGGAACTTCTTAATTAGATATTACCTGCTAGATTTTGGACAGTTTCTAAAACCGGCGAATAATCAGGAAACGGATTTTGTTTATCATTAATTTTTGAATAAAGAGGATTTTCTTCCCCATCAGTATCTATTTGTAATTCTTGAAAACTTTGACATTTCGGTGTTTCACAGTAAGGCTGATAGTTAGCTAAAGACTCCAGTTGATTAAAAGAAGATACCGTTATTCTATAACTCGATCTCTCCGACATTGCGGCACACTCTTAATTATAAACCACAGAATAATAATTTCACTCTTGATATTTGCAAATATTGTGTCAAATTTTTTTAAATATGACACTGACGTTTTATTTAGATGTAGGAAATCCATAGATCTAATATACTATTAGATCTATAAGGCAATTAATATTATAAAGAAACGATAGGCTTTTTTAATGAGACTTACCTAATATCTGTAGGTTAGACCATGATCAGTAATATGAAACCTGTCTCAAAAATCTCAATCAAATAATCCTAATATGCAAATCAAAAAACGATCCCGACCGTTTACGTGCAAGGAATCCATTTAACTTGCATCTTACTTTAAAACTGATTATCTCTAACAGTAAAAATTAAAAGAGCCCAAATAAAGTCACGTAACTAAATTAAAGGAAAATTGTTTCTCGAAAGTCGTCTTAGAAGATTTCCTTTAAGATTAAATATACATTTTCTGCCAATTTTGTACCACAGGGTCCCTCTGTAAATCTATGAAATTATATTTAAGGATAGTCTGCCCGCTAACTGATAATTCTTAAAAAGGAAAATCATTTTCCGAAAGTCGTCCGGGAGTTAAAAAATTGTATAAATAATTTTACAGTATCGCAGTAGTTGTTAATTTTGTAATTTAGTTGGAATGAAATGAAATGAACAATTTGTTTTTATATTTTATCTGTCTCACTCAAAAAAATAGTAAATTATTTCTAAACAGTAATTATATTTATAAATACATTATAAAGACAATTATCAGCACAAAAGATAAAGTTGGTACAGGTAGAAATTTTAAAATTCGTCTCATTATCCTAGGTATTTAAAGTACCTTGAGATAAATTGCTATTTATCTTCAGAAACAATATTGAACCGCATCAGTTATGACATTGGTATACTTAATATTTCACAGATATATCTTTAATATAATTTGGCATCTAAACAATACTTATCGACTTTATTCATGTGATAAGCCACATCGCCTTCTTCATTGCAAATTATCGTTTTCATCTACACTCCATGTTTGAGAATTCGATTCCTGCGATAACATATTGGGCAGATATTCTTAAATGTAATAAAATAACTAATCAAAACATTTTATTATTATTTTATTACGGTATATAGTATCGTATCCCGAACAGATTTAAAATTTTCGCTCAACTTTCCAATTGAAATAACGAACCAATCCCGGCCAACTAGAGACACATATGCGAGGGGATTCAAATTAACCTCCACGAGAAGTAGAACTCACAATGAAGAAATTGACATTTTTAACAAGTTTCCAAAAACTTTTTTAGCAGACGACACCGTCGGAGGCCGATGTTGACGGTAGAGTAACCACTGACAACGCGCTGCCAAAATTGAAATTGTCTTCTCAGTTTCGAATTTCGGAAACTAATAAGTTTTCAGAATATTACGGAATTCGAACTAGGGACCTGCAAGACAAAACCAAAGTACCTAACTACCGGTCGATCATCAGTTCCAGTCGGCAACAATCCAAAGATGAGTAAAATCCAGAGAGGCCAATTGTTGAAACCTAAGGCGGACTTCCCTACTGGACCTCAGAGGACCCATTAAGGACTTTAATCGAACGTCAAATTCAGTATATTGTTAAAAATCTTTACAAATTTTTGCGAGCACATTGCTCCCGGCGTCATCCATCCAGGCATTGTCCAATCCTGCAGTGAATATCCCAAGGGATACAATAAGCTTCCGGAAGCTTTCAAAATTAAAGAATTAAAGGCAGATGAGGCCTACTCAAGCTCAAGTTTCTCAAATTCGTAGGTACTCATAAAAAGCCTACAGAAGCTTCAAAAAGCTTCCAAATTTTTTCGGGATACTTGAAGTGTAGCTAAAAGCATTTAATGCAACCAGGTTCAGTTGAAAGCTTACAGGAAACCATGCCATCCCGAGGGTGTACCAGACGAAGGCAACAAAATAAATTAGATTGTTTCCCATATTTTCCGGAATATACCTTGTTACCGTTGAGGTTGGTGTGATGAGTAAGGCGTCCAAAACTTTCATTTGCTCTGATAGTCCCAGCACCGCAGGCAATACATGAAGATCTCAGTAAAAATGTCGGTTCTTCCTATTCGATAGTCCTAAGTCCACGAAAGGAAACTAAAACTGGTGAAAAACGACAATAACAAGCTCAGGTATTCATGTCAGCGTGTTAAACTCTGTAACCATCGAACATTGTACAACTAGTTATTCTTAAGCTCTTTGAAACCAAAAGAAATATAGAATAAACTAATTTTTAGATTTAGATTTAAATTAGTTTCATTTCTGTTGCTACTATGTTTTCATAGTAATGGATAATAAACCTTATTAATGTCAGAAGTATTATATGCACATATAGGTAATAGGTAATAAAATACTACGTAATAAGACCGCTATTGGCAAATTGTAAAATAAGTTAAATTATCATGATCATAATAAACCTTATTAATGTCAGAATATTATATGCACATATAGGTAATAGGTAATAAAATACTACGTAATAAGACCGCTATTGGCAAATTGTAAAATAAGTTAAATTATCACTTAAAATAATCATTTAGATCGTTACACCGCTAGTCTAGTTCACCATATAATAAATAATCAACTTCTAATGTATGGAATTCGTATGATTCTAAACGCGATGCGCATATATGCTCAAATGCGAATCATCAAACTATCAAACCAATCATTTCAACCTGATGCCTGATCAAATTTATCGTCCTGTATAATTAACAGATATTTTAATTTTAATAGAATTGATAAATAACATATTCTAAAATTATTTGGTAAAGCTAAATTAAAACGTATTTCAGTGTTTTTTAGGAAACCTTTTACTGACAGATGAGTGCACCTGCGTCATAGGCAACACGGGAAACAATTGCACATGGATATTGCCTCCGTTTACGTCTTCTTTAGTCACGTTGAATTTTCACGTGTACTGCCCGGTCTCGCAATTATCGTCTTCAAAATAATTTGGACCTTCCATTAAGTAGTAACGATGAATGTAATATTATTTTATTTAACTTTAGCAAGTTTTGAAAACAAGTGTAATTTTTTATTCTGTTTTAAAGTTTGATGTCTATTAGTAGCAGCTAAATTATTCTGTATCGTAAATTATTGTTATTTAGTGCTCCGTCAATATTATTTAGCGCGATAGTGGTAAGTTGGATAAATATGTTGTAACTGTAAATTACTGTATCAAAGTTTGGAAATTGATGATTAAGATAAAATTGTTTTTAGGTAGGTAAATTTATGTAAAATGCTTTCCTAATCGGTTTGATAAATGATAGATTTACTTACATATTTTTAAATATTGGACAATCAAATGTACGTACAAGTTTTACTTAAAATAATTTTTAATAATAATTCATGTTTTTTTAAATAAAAAAGCAATTTTTCTCCATTTTGAAGTATTTTTTTATGTTTAAAGTAATAGTTATTTAAAAATATATATTTTGGAATACAACTTTTTATATTAGTAATGAAACTGTTTTATATAATGAAAAATATTGCAAAAAAAATTAAATCTATTGAACCAAGTAAATCAATAAGTACGAGTTACTAATATTGAAAACGTGATGTAATCAAATTATCAGACACAAAGTTAGTTTGCTTGAATATATATTAACTGAAATGACGTGGATGAATATCAAATAATATTTTTTATTAAAATGACTTAATATAATGAATAAGTGTAAAGCCCACTACAGTGCTCTATTTTATTCAGGTTGCACCCGAAATAAACATACCTACAATCTACTCTACTAATTAGATACCTTAGATAAATAAAGACTATTTAAACCAATTTAACTATACATATTATATAAAAATCTACATCTAACGAAATATAATTCGCAGAAAATAAATACATAAATTAGATTAGTGAGTACACTGTATATTTGCAGTTTAAATGAGTGAGATTAGATAATTAAACCTTAACTGTACCAAACGTACTACTTTGCATTACAAACATATAGGTACAAAAGATAGAAGTGTTTCAAGAAAATTAAGTCTCAACCCTTCAAATGCACACTGTATTTTTATTTTAACAATCAAAACATTATTTTGTAGAAAATTCAAATATACAATTTCAAATTGTATATTTTCAATTTTTTTAGGTCTTTTGACTTTACATACGTCATGACAAAGACTGTATAAAAAGGGGTAATAGTTAGGTATATAGTTCTTGTTCTTAACAGGTTTTTACGTTATTATTACAATACTGTTAAATCATTTTGTTTTGTATAAAAGACATTTAGGCAAAATTATTGTCATGTCTGCACCAAAAAATAATTTATATGGATCCGTCAAAGATCACATACTTATCAAAAGCACTAGTCGTCCTTTTCAAATAAAAACCAATCATCAGGCAACTAAATTGCAAATATCTAATATTTTGCAGCACTCATAGTAAAAAAGTGAAGGATGGTAGGTACTGAATTTTCAGTAAAAAATTGTTCTAATAATATCGGAGTATGAGTATTTAAAAAAAATAAATATTAAATAGCAGATAATAATAATAGAAATAACATTAATAATAATAAATCGTCTCTATTAGAAGCAGATAATGTAAATATAAAAATAAAGAAATAGAAAAAATAAAGAGAAAAATTCGCAAACCCATGGCGAAGTCTAGCAAAAGTTATTCACACTCAACCATATTATGTATGCGATAGCATGTGATTTCAAAATACATAAATAACAACAGACAATCGCTCAGAAAAGAAACAATAACACAATTAAAATAAAATACAATTACCTAACAATAATCAACAGTTTAAAATAAAAATCCTCGAGTATAAACTATAAAATCAGCTGACAACTCAATAGATATGATTTAAATTTATACTTGAATTTGTTAATATTAGAAATTTTTAAATTATCAGGAAGAGAATTGCATATAGTGATGGAGTTATAAGTAAAACATCTTTTAAATAGGGCACTACGATGATGTGGCATTGTAAAGGTATTTTTAAATCGGATATTCCTTGAATGAACATTAGAACAT